AATCAAGTTGGTACTGACCTCAAAATTTCATGTCTACTAGGTAGATGTCTCATGGTGCTGGAAGGTGCTATACTTGCTACCAGAAGAGAAAAGTTTCATCAGCGTTTTCCCATCTGCAAATACTATGAGCTATAAGAAAAAGTGGCTTGGAAAGATGTGCCCACCACTGCAATAATGGCATGAATGCTTTGTGAGTAACCAACCACTTTCTCATTGGACTTAAAATTTTCTTCACAAGGTGAAGCCCATACCTGATACTGATATCAAGCCTAGGAATCTGTTGTTAGACATATCACAAGCTATAGGGGAGAATCTACTACTATTATTTTGATAAATGGACTTAGTATTAAATCAACTTCATAGTATTAAACCAACTTCTAATGACATTATTATATCCATAGTTTAATGCATCTCAACTCTCACCAGAAACACTTCCTCATGTAGCAGATGGTGATTAATGCAGAGACCCACAACTGGTCAATGTGTATAGAATAAAATACTGTGGCATTCTAAACCCTAAATGGAACATCTATATAAGATCTCTGCCTCCCAAGGTTTCAAGATCATTGCAAAAGAGATGGCATAAAGATTTTGAGAGTAAGAGGTGGTGGATGATGATGAGCAAACAGTTTTTTCCAGGGCAGTTACTCATATGAACTCACAGCAGTTATGGCAGAATGCACAAGACCTACATAATTTGGCTCAAGCCAGACAAAATTCCAGCATATTGGGTGAGGGTATGAAGTCCTAGCCCTAGTTGAGAAACTATTGGGAACTGATAACTTCTGGAAGAAGGAGAGACAGTTTTCTTTAAGAGTGTGAGAGTGTGATGCTGAGTAGATTAACTGGGCTCCAGTAGCTGTACCCACATCAGTAGGTATTTGTGGACACAAATTAGACTTAGGATGTGTGTGTGTGTGTGTGTGTGTGTGTGTGTGTGTGTGTAAATATGGAGTGTTCCCAGCATAGTGGTGCACGCCTTTAATCCCAGCACTCGGAAGGCAGAGGCAGGAGGATCTCTGTGAGTTTGAGGCCAGCCTGGTCTCCATAGTGAATCCAGGCCAGCTGGGCCTACAGGGAGATCCTGTCTCAAAAAGGCCAAGAAATATGGAGTGAATATGGTTATAAATACATTCCATGAAATTCTCAAAAATTCAATAAAAATATTAAAAAATAATTTACAATGGCAAATTTTCTGAAGTAAATGCAAACAGAATGGAATCTAGGGACCTACATCTATAGAAAATACCTCTAAAATTTAGTCGAGTACTAAGTTCATACTCACTGGTATATCTTGATTTCAACTTCCAAAAATTTGTTACCATTATTTGTTGACAAATCACATATAGTTGTGTTTAAGTATATGGTTGGAATTAGATGCTTGAGTTTAAGATGATATCTTTATTCAGAAGCTTGAAGATTGTGAGAGTGTCATGGCATTATCTGCTCATTCACACACTCCTAATGTTGTCCTATGCTATTAAACTCTCTGAAGAGATCGATAATGAGAGAGTTGCCATTTCTTTTCTTTATTATTTTTTTATCTTATGTGTATGAGTGCACCCATGTTATGCAGTGCTTCAGAGATCAGAAGAGTGTGTCAGGTCCCCTGGGACTGGAGTTATGAATGTCTGTTAGCCATCATGTGGGTTCTGGGAAATGAACTAGGGACCTCTGCAAAAGCAACCAGTGCATTTAACCACTGATCCCAAGAGTTGGAATTTCTTTAAAGGAGGAGTTCAGGATCAGTTATTTTGTCCCAAGGAGATAGATTTATTTTCATACAAGCACATTTTTATAGTAAACTGTCATTATACATAAATACAAATAGAAAAATTCTTTAATGTTACCACACAGGAAAAAAAGTAAACAATCATTTTAAAGTGAATCTAGTACTATACTAATTTGGTCAGTTATAATACAGAGGAGATGATTATGAGTGTTTGCATGAACAATACTCTTGGGACCTCTGTCCCTTGACTATTTGTATGTGTAAATGGCCAAAGTGGAGCCTACCCAGCCTCTTCCTGGGATTAGCCAGATGAGTTAACATCTCTCCTCTATCAGTTCAGGTTTCAAATAAAAAATATAAAATACTTCAAAATTCCGGAGACCTGATTCAGATGGAATCAGAAATGAATTGTCTAAGGTCATCTCAAGTATTCAGCATGGGACCTCTCCTCTCTTTTTTCCTCTCTTCCAGTCATTGAATGTAGTTATGATTGCTATAGTCTCCCAGTCAGATGGTCTTTACTTGACTTTGCAATTGTTTAATAACCTCTTGGACTCCTTACTCAGAATCTTAATCTCCCTTGTACCTGACTTTGTCCCTTGTAGTTTGTAAATTTCTATTTAGTTATCTGACTTCTGGTTGTTATTTGTATTTACTAAACTTGATTCTGAACCCTAATTCCAGTTAATCCCAACACAGAGACTGACAGGAAGAATCTGGACTTTCTCTAAATTAAGGATGTTTGCATTGTTCTCTTCTTTATAACCAGGGTAGAAATGAGCAGAGGAAGTTGATTCAAACAGTTTCAGTTTGGCATGTTCCTATTCTTTCTAGTATGTTCAAATCAATTGTTACCTATTTTGAGTAATGAAGGAGTAGTAGGAGGAGGCGGAAGAGGAGAAAAAGGAGGAGAAGCAGCTTCAGAGGTAAGTAAAGTGATTTTCTAACCTTGAATGACACAGAGAGAGGTTGTCCCAAGTTCTAGAAACAATTCATTGGTTTCTCAAAGACCTATATAGTATTCTGAGGCCACGAATGGTATGAAGAATGACATACCTTGTTAGGAAAAGGAGGACGTAAAGGCTAGAGCAAGAGATATTAGAACAAATTACTTGAATAGAAGAGTAAAAGGAGAAGATGAAATGCTTGTTTATTTAAAGGATTTAGGGGGATTATTCTGAGCTAGCTAGTGCCACAGACTGAAGGCTCTCTGTAGCCATAAACTGATCATTGCACCCTATGCTAGCACAGATAACAAAAGACATGTTGCTCATTCCTAAAAAGGACTTACAGGTCAGCTTTAAAGGGTTCAATACAAATGAATGAACTTTATTGCTGAAGACAGGGTCTGGAGGTCAAGGAATCATGGAGTTGTCTGAAAGTTTACGTACCCCTCATCTTGATGGGGGGTACAATCCACAGAGTCTCAAAAGAATCTCTCACTTCGAAACATGATTGTGTTCAGTCGTCATATTCTAATCTTTGTGGGGCATGATGTGCCAGAATGTGAGACTGAGTAGGGGATAAAACAGGTGGTGGCTCTTTCTGATCTCTCAAGAATGTTGTATAATTCTGAGATGTTATTCATTACAGTTTGTGTAGGATTCAGGGGCAGAGACATATGTAGTAGTTCTTGGATAGTTCTCTTGCTAAAATAAGAAATATTGACTTCAAAGTATGAATACAACTTCAGTGAATCTATCAGTTTGTGGATCAGGTTTCTTTAGGTATGAACTCTGATTAATAAAAAAATATAAGGCTATCTGACTTAATGGAGCATCAGCCAGAGAGTCTGACATCCCACATATGTTTCTAATGTATAATGAAAACTTTTTTCAATCACTTCACCTATTTGAGCTTTGGCTTATTTGTCTGTGACTCAAGTACAAGTTTCGGTTATACAAATGCTTCTTAATACCTTTAAGTATCAAAATTCCTGGAGAAAATTTAGTTTTACTTTTCAAGTATAGTTTCTCAGACGGTGTATTAGAGAATTTAAATGAGAGTTCTAAATGAAGGATGGGATTTTATTTTTTATCATGTATTTCATTTATTTTTTATAACCTGGTCCATAGACCAAAGGTTGGACATTTCTATACAAGATGATCTTTTAGATTCTATTCAGTTCTTTTAAAAAAATAATTTTTATTGAGTTTTTTTTGCATTTCATATAATACATCTTAAACAAATTTATACCTTTTCCTCTCTCCCCATCCCCAAACAGATTTCAGGTATTTTGTCATGTATGCTAAGACATACCAGACCAAATAGGTCTAGAATTTGTATCCAGATGTCCTTCGGTGCAAGTTCATCCACTGGAGTCTAGTCAGCCTATCTAAAATCACTCCCCTAAAGAAAATCTACTGTATTCAGTTCTTGAATTTCATTGTTATTCTCCAATAATCAAGTAGGCAAAATAGTAAGAGCCAATGACAAAAAAGATGCTAAATTTGTATTGAATATTTTATGTCTGAAGAAGTGATGAACAGTAAGTAGGAAGGGATGTTCAAATACCCTTCATTATAAATGAGGCCCTCCAGCCTAGCATGGTGGCACTGCCTTTAATTCCAGCACTAGGGAGTCAGAAGCAGGTGGATCTATAAAATCAAGGTCAGCCTAGTCTACATACCGAGTTCCAGGCCAGTGGGGGCTACAGGGAGATTCCTTTTCAAAAAACTAAAACAAACAAACAAAAAAAAAACGAGGCCGGGTGTGGTGGCACACGCCTTTAATCCCAGCACTCGGGAGGCAGGGGCATGTGGATCTCTGTGAGTTCAAGGCCAGCCTGGTCCACATAGTGAGTTCTAGGACAGCTGGGGTTACAGGGAGACCTTGTCTCAAAAAGACGGAAAAAAAATAAAGTACTCTTGAGTGTTTTTCTCCAGTAGAATTTTTTGTGTGTTTTGAGTCATCTTTCAAAAGAATGTGTTTTATCCTACACCTGTCTATTCATGAACACATTCTCCTCCAACAATGGAACTGACATGGAGTTATAAACCTACTGTAAATGCTTGGGACTACCAGAGATGACCATGCCTAGAAACTTAGTGGAAGTGTATACTCTGTATAAAATACTGAATTTAGGAAAAGGGGGAAATACGAAATTCCTCAGAAGGCAATAAAAAAGGAAGTAGAGTTAGATTATAGGTAAAGACAGTGAATTTAAATAGACATCAGAGAATTTCAAGATATGGAAGCCAGTGCCTGCAGTTTTACAATAAATCCTACATTCTATCTATCTTCTCTAAACTGCAGATGCTGTAGAATCATGGAAAACCAATCCAGTGTCTCTGAGTTTTTCCTCCGAGGACTATCGGGGTTTCCAGAGCAACAGCAGTTACTCTTTGGAGTTTTCCTGTGTATGTACCTTGTCTCCTTGATTGGGAATGTGCTCATCATCCTGGCCATTGGCACTGAACCAAACCTCCACACTCCTATGTATTTCTTTTTAGCTAACCTTTCATTTGCTGACATGGGTTTAATATCCTCTGCAGTGACCAAGATGCTGTTCAATGTGCAGACTCAGCACCATACCATCTCCTATACTGGTTGTCTCACCCAAATGTACTTCTTCATGATGTTTGGTGATCTAGACAGCTTCTTTCTGGCCGTGATGGCCTATGATCGCTATGCGGCCATCTGCCGCCCTCTCCACTACTCCACCATCATGAGCCCCAGAGCCTGTGCCTTGATGCTTGCATTGTGCTGGGTCCTCACCAATGTAGTTGCCCTGACTCACACCCTCCTCATGGCTCGACTATCCTTCTGTGTAGTTGGAGAGATATCTCACTTTTTCTGTGACATAACGTCTGTCCTGAAGCTGTCATGCTCTGATACTCGTATCAATGAATTAGTGCTTTCAGGCTTTGGAGGCACAGTGCTCATGGTCCCCTTTGTAAGCATTGTTGTCTCCTATGTTCACATTGTAGCTGCTGTGCTGAGGGTCCGAACCTCTGGGGGAGCTTCAAAGGCCTTTTCCACATGCAGTTCCCATCTCTGTGTAGTGTGTGTATTCTACGGGACCCTCTTCAGTGTCTACTTGTTCCCTGCCTCTGTAGACTCCACAGAAAAGGATGTTGCAGCTGCTGCAATGTATACAGTGGTGACTCCCATGTTGAACCCCTTTATCTATAGCCTAAGGAACAAGGACATGAAGGGGGCCCTAAAGAGACTTCTCAGTCATAGGCAAATTTTTTCATCTTAGGTACAATGACAGCAATGTTTAATAAAAAAAGGCATGGAATCAGGCAAGTAACTTTCAGTTTGGGATCTGTCACATACTAGCCATAGACTATTGTCCAGTTATTTAGTCTAAATGCACTTTAATCTTCTCATTCATAAAATTGAGATAATATAATGTTTTTAGTTTTTCTGGGTGTTTTTTTTGAGATAAGGACTTTCTGTATAAGCCAGTCTGAGTTTGAATACTGTGTATGCAGTTCACATTGACCTGTAATCCATAATCCTCCTGCCTCAGTATTTGGAGTACTGGGACTAGAGACATATACCACTTCATGCAACTCAATAGTTTCTATTTAATATGATAATTTGTATGATTAAGTAAAGTAAACTATGACATTTATCTATTAATAACACAATGGAAAACAGTAAACGGTTCTAAAATGATACCTGCTGTTATTATTGTTGGTGTTGCTGTTATCATTCCTTATTGTTCCCTCAACTGAGAAGTAAAATGCTTTTTAATTAAGATTCATTTGTTCAGCAAATGTTCACAAACTATTTTCTATGTGGGGGGCTGGAGAGATGGCTCAGCAGTCAAGAGCAGTGGCTGCTCTTTGAGAGGACCTGGAGTTCCCGGCACTCACATAATGGCTAAAAATCATCCTTAACTACAGTTCCAGGGGTATCCTATGCCCTTTTCTTGCCTCCATGGGCATTGCACACATTGGTGCACTTACATACATGTAAACAATACACTCACAAACATAAGAATAAATAAAATTTCAACAGTATTTACTATGTGTTTGGAGCTTCTATCTCTGGGACAACAAGGAGTAGGTCAAGTCTCTGCCTTCAAGACATATCATTCTCAGTCATCAATTCATGGATGACAAAAATTAAGAAGTATCTGTCATGTTTATTGGCATGAAAGAATAGATATAAGGGATAGAGTTTAGGTTCTAGGAGTTGAAGAATTTCATAACAAAATAAATTCAATGTTTAGATAACTATACTGGTTGCCCAGGTCCCCATGGTTTGTGAAGAGTTCAGCAAAGATAGTATTAGAACCTCTGTACTGCTTCTGCCCACTGTTGGTCAGAAGTACTCAATGCTACAGACTTCCTGGGACCACTGGCTGAGAATACTGAAATTCCCTTGTATATTTGTTTTCAAGTTTGTCTTCCATACCTAAAAGGTGTAACAGTAGTTTAAATTCATTTCCAAAATATAAAAGTATACATTAAAGAATATATGAAGTTGCCTTTTCTAACTCCACAAATCTTAGAAATATTAATTTAAAAATATTAGCTATATAATTTTGATTCTTACACTGGTATGGACAATGTCCACTATTTACCTATTCACCCCCTCCTTACTGCAGCTCTAATTTAAATCTGACATTTTTCTTCAATCTTTAGAGTTTGGGGCATTTTGTATAATAGATATTAATCAAATTTAGACCCCCTCTGCTCTCCCAACCCCCTCCCTACCCATCCACTCACGGCCTCCTCACCAGATTTAAGGTATTCTGTCATATATGCTAAGTCCTATCCAGTTTAGAATTTGTACCCAGATGTCCCTCGGTGCAAGTTCATCCACTGGAGTCTGGTCAGCATATCTAGAGTCACTCTCTTAAAAAAAAGATCTATTCCCCCTCATCCCACAGTAATTTTTTGGTGAGTTGAGAGATGAATTCATGTTCTTTTTGCCTCTTGCTCCACTCTGCTCCCCAAGCCTTAGTTGGAGAGTTTGCACTCTAGATGTGTCACTTAGGACTAGGTAGCCCACATAAACTTATTCTCTGCATTTGACCAGGTGTGGAACCCTGTAATAGTCTCCATCTGCTGCAGAAAGAAGCTTATTTGGTGAGTAGTGAGAGGCATACTTGTCTGTAAATATAAGGATACATAGTTAGCATACAGTAAGAAATTACTTATGTCTAGGGATGTGACAGACACAGAGTTGGGTTTTGCTCTAGGATCTAGGACCCTTCCAGCCTTGTATATATTTGACTGTGTTTACAGTACCACACATGATTTTTCTCCCATTGAGTGGACCTTCAGTCCAATTAGATAACTGTTGATTACACCCCAAGATAAAAGTGCCACTACTGCACCAGTAGAGATTGTTATTGTTGTGGTTCTTAAACCTTTCATTGTTTTTTTTCTTTGATATAGTGATTGCTAGTCTTCATGGAGAAGGCTTCCTAGTCAGTTCCAGCTCCATTGCTCCAAGCCCCGTGATTGCCTTCAGCAACATGATATTACTTTCAAGTTCTGGGAGGCAATCAAGTGTTTTGTCAATGGCCTGTATTATTTTGGGAGTTCCTTGGACTACCCTGACCCAGAAATTGAAGAGCGGTTTCTCCTGTCTGGTACTGTGTTTCTTGTTGGATAACCTCAGCTATACACATGCACTCATGTACAAATACTGGATGTGTATTTTTCAGTAGGCCTTTGAACTAATACACTTCCCCCTGATTTTTACACCACCTAAGCATTATTTATCTCACTTGTCTGTTTTCCTATATAGCCCTCCTCCTCTCTCCCCAGTTAAAGTACCCCCATTTTCCCCTCGGTAACACCTTTCTCATTCTATGCCCCTCTCTTGCTCTCCTTATTCTTGTTTACCCCTATGGTTCCTTGTATAACCCTCCCTTCTTCCTTCCCACTTCAATATCCCCATTTCCCCATCTGCCCCTCGATAACACCTGTCTGCTACTATCCCCCACTCTTGGGCTCAGGAAACTGACTAACCACATTTTATCTGAACACGGAAAACTGCAAAGGGGCAAGGCTATAAATCCTCAAAGCCTACCCCCAGTGAAGTACTTCCTCCAGCTCCATCTCCTAAAGGTTCTTTTATTGCCTGAAGAAACACCACCAATCAGGTACCGAGAGTCCAAATACAGGAGCTTCCTGCTCCTGTCACTCACGCCCTGCTGCCCCAACTGTAATGGACTCTGTAACTGTAAGCTAAAATAAATCCCTTATTCCTTAAGTTGCTCTTGGTCAAAGTGTTTAATCAGAGAAACAGAAAAGTAACTAATACAACCTTCTTTGCAATGGGATTACAGGTGTGGACATGCATGCCTGGTTTTCCACAAAGCCCTTTAGCATAAAAATCAAGAGGCAGAGCAGTACACCACGATCTTATTCTTTTTCTCCTTTTTAAAATTGAATTTTGCAATTTTAATACAATATAATTTGATGGTATTTAGATTCCCCCATCTACAACTCCCCATATATACATATAATAAGGCCTATGGAATCTAATTTGTGTCCTCAAATTCCTTAATCTGGGACATTTCTCATTCAGTCTAGTACAGAGGCTGAGACAAAAAGAATCATGCCCATTCTGTTTTCATCTGCTCTCCTTGGGCCTTGGCACCTTCCTGCTGAGGCTGTGGGAGAGGCTGTGGGATGCTGACTAGCTGGGGTGAGTCAGCATCATCCCACCACGCCCATCTCTCTGTTTTGGGACAATGCCCAGGCTTGCTTACCCAGCACCAGAGCTCATGATTCTGCTGATAGTTAATAAGTACCGGTCCATCCTGTTTACATCTGCCCTTCTTTGACCTTGGTGCCTTCCCTCTGAGCCTGCCACAGAGCACGTGACTGACTAGAGGACTAAGCCGATCCCGCCTTGCAGGGTCACAGGGTCACCACCACCCTGCTTTGGGACCAGCCCCAGTTCTGCTGCTACAGGGCTCACAATTTTTCTGCTACCTAGTAAGAACCAGCCCATCCTGTTCCCATCAGCTCTCCTTGGGCCTTGGTTCTTCCTCATGGGGCTGCCAGAAAGCATCCGACTATTGGGTTAGTTAACTATATCCCACCCACCTGTGCCAGATCACCATTATTCTGCTGTGGAACCAGCCCCAATAAAGTGGCTCCAGGGGTCACACATTCTCTTCTTATCTACTCAGAACTGGTCCAGCTGATCCCTATCACCTTGACTAGAGCCTAGGCTTCTTCATCCTTCTGGAGAGCTCCTGACTAGCCTACCTGGATCCATCCAGGGCTCAGGGTTGGGTAAGCACATTGATGTCTTTCTTCCCCAGTACCTGGCATATCCATAGCAGCTTCCACCACTGTGAAAGCTGGCCAGCAGGGAGGGAGTTTTCTGGTCAGTTGAGGTTGATTTCTTTAGGTCCTGCATCCAAAGTGACTGGTGTCTTTAGCAATATGGCCTCTAGTTACAGTGGGAAAGCGAGTATAATGGTTAGTGCCTACTTAATTTGATTGTTTCTGGGGCCTCCTTGATTACAGACAGAAAGGTAGGTGTCCTATGCCTAGCATGGAGTGTTTATTAAAAATGTGGAGAATAAACCACTGCAGATTTTCACCATAGATGGGACATCTGTATCAACCCCTCCTCCAAGTCTCAGAGAAGAGGGGAATAAATAATGCAAAAGCTAGAAAATGGGGAGGAGTGCTGTAAAATGTGTTCCCTGGATATAACACAGCTAGTGCATACATGAATTCACAACAGCTGTGCTTACCTGCACAAGACCTTCACAATATCAAGCCAGTTAAAAAGTCCAGCAAGGAGATAGAGGGGCTTCCAAGGTCCTACCCTGTAGGAAACCAGGATGCCAGGCCCTAGGGTGAGGTGAGCCTAAAACTTATAGGTCCAGGCTGCATTCTCTGCTAAAAGGGATGGGCCCTGAAAACAGTGGCTCTGATAATCCCTGCCTTGCAGAACACTGTTAGGCTGGCAGAAGGAAGCGGCCCAGTCATAACTGAACTTGCAACTGCACATCCCCCATCAGCACAGTTTGCTGCATGAAACATCACAGAGGGGAAGAAGTCAAAACCAACTCGACCAAGGAAGAAATCTTGACAGAGACTGTTTTAAGTTTAAATTAAATGTACTTGTATTACACTTTGTCTTTTTTTGTTACCGTTAATTTTAATTTTCTCCCCCATTTTCATGTATATGTTTATGGTATGCATGTATCTGTGCATGCAGGTTTGTGCATATGTGGTATGCGTGTGCATGTGCATGTGGAGGCCTGAG